GTCTTGCCAAACACCGTATCCACCCACCGCAGTCCTCTTAACTGAAAGTACCCTTTTCTTCCTTTAAGAGAAGACTGGTAAGCCAAAAAAGAGACAGGTTAACGTCATCTTTGTTCCTTTCTTTGTCTGGTTTAGGTGGAGTTCACTGTTATGCGGGCGCTCTCCCTCAACCTCATGAAGGGCCGCATTGACGAGGTGAAGAATACAGTGTCGCTGGTCTGGCTTCAGCCCCGCGTTCTTGATCTCGATCAGGTGAGTGACCCAGTGTATGTGTGGGGGGTTTCCCAACTTCGCCTTTTTGCGCAAACCCCCTGTACGCGTTTTTGTGTGCACACAGTACTCGTATAGGCCTTCACTCGGAAACTTGCGTGCCTTTCCTGGAAGATTCGTTTAGTCGGTACAGGAATGCATAAAATGTAGTGAATATAGTGAATATACGCCTTGTTATCCAAAAATGCATAAGAATATTAAAAAAACATGAATGGTTAAAAAGGTGTGGCGTTTGCGAAATAGAAGCCTAAAACACGTTAATCGGATTCCCGCTATTAAATGTTTACCGGAACCAACTTAAGTGTAAACATAAGGTCTGTTGAAATCGAGTAAGTAGTATATATTTTCTGCTATGAAAAGCGTTCCTCTGCAGCTTGCATGTGTACCTGGACAGCATTCCGTACGGTTATTGGTGGAGGTTGTATCCTCCCTGCGATCAGGTCCGGGAAGGGGGATCTTGCTGCACTAGAATGAACTAGACGATATCTGTGATGTTAATGAACAAGTGGGCAGATGAAAACTTCCGCACCAACATCAGGTATCGATTTTTCGGGTTATTTAGGGTCTGAAGACTTCTGTTCCTCATGAAAGTCAAAGGATATGAAATGCATGACCTCTACGTACGACAACTTGTTACACTGGGCGCCACTTCTTAAAATTTTCAGTAACGCAACCATCGTTTCTGCATCACTTTGAGTGTAAGAACCTTTGCGTAGCCCTAGCCTACGAAGAACCGGCAGATACAATATTCTCATGGAGCATTCGCAACACTTCACTGACCAACGATGTAAACCCTAGCCTTGGATAGTGACTTGTTAAAGCTCCTGTATTTATCTTTTCTTGTCCCACAGATCACCAGTATGGCCGAACGCCTTAAAACCTGGAATGCTGCCGTGGAGACGACAAGGGACCTGGTGGCTGTGGACGCAAAGGCGATTTTCGTTTGAGAACCGTCCCAACTGTAATTATTGTTACTTTTCACACAACAAATGTGATATCTGCCGATTTGTGTCCTTTTTTACTGTCTGGGTGACATTGGCGTGATCTTCTAGCAGTCAAGGATGGGCGATCTACCAGAACCACAACACTAGGAATATTCCGTCAGATGTTAGGAGCGATTTATTGGTATACAAGGCAATTCGCCGTAAAGCGACTGTGTTTGGATGGCCGAGTACGTGAGCCACTACCCTTGTCATTCAGACATCCTGAGGTCCCCCCGGACAAAGGCACGCCAACAGAGGTAAGCGCACAGTCACAAAGAGCTCTGACCAGGGTTAAGAACGCCGCCGAATTACGCATATCCTTTTGAGGT